GACATTTTCCCAGCCACCATCAGTTCTGAGGAAGGGTCACCGGACCCGAAACGTTAACTCTGTTTTCTCCTCCACAGATGCTGCCAGACCTGCTGAGCTTTTCCAGCAACTTTGTTTTTTTTCCCTCCTTAAGTCTTAATGTCCATGAGCCAAAATAACAGAATGGAAATATTTCTGTTCTGTGCGCTGGATGTTTAGATTAAATTAATGTCCAGGGCAATTTGTTCCTTGCACTTTACCATTACTTTTTTAAATTTTTTTTCTGTGGATTAGTTAAACCTGTATTCCCCTTGATCATTGCGAGAAACAAAATGAAAGATTGTGGCGATCAGAAAGTAATAATGATGTTAATGCTGAAACTAATACAAATACAGGTTGAGTTGCAGAAAACTAAAGCTGTGATTTTTATCCCTCCACCGCCCCGCCCCGTCCCAATATAAGACAGCCACAAAATACTCAGCTAAGTTAACAATGCCATGCAAAAAAACATCCTTCAGTTTAATTTCTTTTTTTTTGTATTATGTTCATAGAAAGTTAATGCAAGTAGGGTGGGACCCATATCTCTAGGGCAGGGAAGAGCTGGCAGCTACACTCGATTCTTTGTAAGCATTGCTCTCGTTGATCAGTTGTATAGCTACTCTGTTAGTGGTGAAATCCAACTAGCCCATCGTTCTGAATGAAGAAGGCAGTGTTTTTGTGTATAGGCAGAGTATTGAAGACAACTGAAACTTACTTTCAGAATGATCTTCAAATAAAATCTGTATGCTGATGGAAAAATTGGTTGATTGTTGAATCGCCTGGTATTGCCCATCCAAAATGAGCTATCTTTGATCTGATTTAGATTAGGCATATAAGACAAAGACTAATCTGAAACCAAAACCTTAGATATAAGAAAAATCTATGAAATCTGTCGTATTTTTTCTGTAAGAAGGTTGATATGGGCTTAAAGCACGCAGCTTTTGTTTGCTTTAAACAGTTGCCTGGAGTTCCTAGCTGATCATGGTCTGAAGCTCAGTTGAATGTGTGTTGGATAGCTGGAAAGTGGACAATGCAGTGCCTGTATTAAAAAGAGAGACAGCAAATTTGGCTAATTGCAGACGATTCAGCTTTAAAATCTATGGCAGGGAAACTAGTAGAGTCTTTTCTTTATGTGGATACATCTTAACGAGCTAGAAATATTTCTGCACACTTCAAAAGGGTGCACTGTATGCTTCACAAGCTGTAGAATTGTTTAAAGCAACAACAAATATGGTACATAGGAATATTCAGTGGATGTTGTTGCGACCAAGGTTGGAAGGCTACACTGTTTCTTCTGGTGATAAGTAATACTAAATTTAAGCAGCTGGGTGATATGGGTGGCATGGTGGCTCAGTGGTTAGAACTGCTGCCTCAGTGCCAGGGTCCCAGGTTCGATTCCAACCTTGGTGACTGTGGAATTTGCACATTCTCCCCATGTCTGCTCCAGTTTCCTCCTGTAGTTCAAAGATGTGCAGGCTAGGTGGATTAGCCATGGTCAATGCGGGGTTACGGGGATAGGTTGGGATGCTCTTTGGAGGGTCAGTGCAGATTCGATGGGATGGATGGCCTCTATCTATACTGTAAGGGTTCTATGGTTGTCAACTATAAAGGTCTTAGACTTTGTCAGTGTTAGTATTAATAACTAGTCTGGCCAAGTTTTTTTTAGTCAGCAGCAAATAATTGGTTTATTACCAAAATGATCAAAAAAGATGCAAAGGTTATTCCCAACTGTTTGAGTTATGCACACACAAATATCTACCTTTTTTTGAAAGGGGACATAAAAGTACAAAAACTGCAGAGTTTTCAACTTTTAAGTATTTTGACTGAGTAATTGTTAAAATCATGAAAAGAGGTGTCACAGCTTGTGCCAAATAATGTACAGATTCTGAAGTTATTCAGCACACATAAGCTGTTGGCACTGCCGCATCTTCCAAGAACATTTTTTTTATCTTCGTTCATGATATGAGGGCTTCACTGGCTAGGCCAGCATTTATTGCCCATTTTCCTAATTGCCCAGAAGGCAGTTAAGAGTCAGCCAATTTGCTGTGGGTCTGGAATCTGGCCAGACCTGGTAAGGATGGAGGTTTCATTAGATGCTAAATTCCACTATCTGTCAATAAGAATCTGGAATTTAATTTCAATGTGGGATTTGGATTTGAATCTGATCCCCACAACGTTACCTTGGTCTTTGGATTAACAGTCCAGTGATAATACCACTAGGCCATCATCTCCCCATAGCATTTATAGTTGGCTGAGATCCCTTTGACGACGATGGGATAGATGCCAACAAATCCTGTCTAGGAGCCTTTCATGAGTGGTGAAGATGACTTTTGGTGGGTTTTCGGCTTCCCACTTTGAGAGATTTTGCAAAGGAAGAGAGAGCAGACAATGTGCTGATGCTCTTCAGGCAGGTCATGTTTTCTGAGTTCTCTCTGTGAAAGTCCTCCAGATTGTGTGCACCATCCATGCTCCCTGCTACTTGCAGGTGCAACATTGTTGCTATTGTATCCATCGTCCTTTTTCCTTAGCAAAGTGCCTTTCTTTAAATTTTTAAGATATTTATATGTACATAATCTTTCTCAAAATATTTGGATCTCCTTTCCTCCTAGCAATGTAAATATATGGAAATGCTTCAAGATATTACGCAAACTGTAAAGGAATGAAGTGTGGATCTCGAAGCGAGCAAACAGATTGGAAGTTGGAAGGATATGATCATAGCTACTCTAAACTTATCAAGTGCCTTAAAACTCGCACAATATCTCAAAGCAGTATATTGTGACAAAGTAAAGAAGGACACATTAGAGCAAGTGACAAAAATCTTAGCAAGAGGTTAAGACCCAGAGAGCTGAAGACTTGGCTGCCAGTTGTGGCGCAAAGGAAATCTGGATTCTACAAGAAACCAAAAGTGGATTTATGCAGCAATCTCTGTGGATTAAAGAGCTGAAGGAAATGGGTGAAGTAAGGCCTTGGCAGAGTTTAATTTCAGGAATTTAAAAAAATGAAGTGTTGCTGGACAGGAGCTAATTTAAGTCCACCCAAACAGTAAAGGTGCCCAAAGTAGGCTAATTAGTCCAATATAAAGGACACTGGGATCAGGTAATAAGCTCTATCTCTAAACCAGTGGTATTTTTAGATTAGCTAAGTTTATGAAAACAGAAGTTGAGGAGTCAGTCGAGAGCATTCAAATAATTAATTCTGGAAGCAGTGAAACCATCGCAGGTTTGAACAGCAAATGACCTGTAGTGGGAACGGAGATGTGAAGGAGATGATATGGCTTTGGAAGGCCCATTTGAGGCTCTGAATTGTCCTGTTTAAGTCAAAATGATAGCAAGGGTTGATTGCTCAATTACAGAGTTTCTGGTGGAGGCTGAAGTCCATGAGTTTAGTCTTAGTACCTTCCAGCCTTCAGGATTCAACATTAAGTTTAACAATTTCAGAATGTGAATACCCTCTTTGTTATCCCTACAACCCTAGTTCCTGTCCTGAAACAACCAATGCAATCCCTTCTGTTTGCCTACTATGTCTTCTCACACTCCATCTCTCTCGGGCCTGCTGAGTTTCTCCAGCAATTTTTTGTTTTTGTTTGACTTGTCCCAATTAAATATGAAACACTAAATATCTGTTCATCCACTTCAGGATGCCAACTTCTTTCAGAGACAGTGGAGAAGCTGAGAGAGTGGTGGTGAGGTGGAATTGGATTTTGGCTGCATGCATATACAGTAGTTTCAAAATGTGCAACTCAATTACAACCAGAGTTCAGTTTCAGTTC